ACTAAGGTGGGTTGGTCATGTGTGGTGCCGATCAAGTACAACATCTATTAAGAGATGAGAGTTAGCCAAAGTGGAAGGATTGAAAATGACAATAGGCTCAAAAAGATGTGGTTGAAAATAGTTCGAAAAAATTTATAGACTTATGACCTGATTGAGGATATGCTCTTTAATAGAGCAAAATGGAGACAAATGATTCATGCAGCCGACCCCAATTAATTGGGAAAGGGCTAAAAGGATGATGATGCTGATGACGATATAAATTAATATATAGTATAACATTATATGAGAAATGATCCTATAGGACCCTCTCCCACTCATGTGTATAGGACTCCAAAGGATCACCATTAAATTTGGCACGGATCTGTAAAAAAATCAAGTTCCACACCCATGTGATAACTTTTCTAAATATCCGTATTAAATTTAATAGTGATCGTTTGGGTTCCTACACACATCGGTGGGGGAGGATCCTATAGGATCATTACTCATATTATATAATATTATAGTAATATTATATAAGGGTGTGGTTTGTATAGAGCCTAGGCTTTGAATAATCAAATTGGAACCTACCTTCAAATAGTATCGAAAAATGTGGTTTCACTATTGGAAGTCTTTGTGATTGCCTTAAAATATACTTTCTTATTTATTTATAAAGTTTAAAGCTTAAAAAATAGTGTAGATTAACGGATCTATGAAAACTTGAAAATCTTGAAAATTAACGGTCAAAAAATGCGTTACAAAATACACTATTTCCAAAACTTGAAATCTATTTTTTTCTTATGTCCATGCATCTTGATGTCGAGATGATCAATTTGCATATATTTGGGCATCAAAACAACCTCTTATAGTGAACTTTTTGAGTTAGGTTCAAATTTGATTGTTTAGAGCCTATATAAATTTTTTCTATTATATAAATATATAATACTATCTACATATTATATATAATACAAAAATATGTTAATAATATAAATGTAAATATATAATATAATATACATATATAAATATTATATATAAGACATAATATATAATATAAATATATGTAATATAAATCACATTAATAAAATAAATACAAATACAAATATATAATGTATAATATAATAAAATGTAATATATAAATTAATATATAGTATAATATTATATTATGTCATATTATATTACTATCATATAATATTATATATTTATAATATTATATGATAGTGATATTATGTATTATCTTATACATATATTATCTAATGTTATACAATATAATATAAAATAAAATAGTATATTATTTATATAAAATATTA